CTGTCGGTAATAAGTACTTCTATAGTGCCTACTGTGTAATTGGTACTTACATGTATTTTATGCCTATGTTACTGCTGTAAATATAGTTATGAAAAAGGTAAATATGGTCCCAGTCCTCATGAAATTATGGTGTAGGTGAGATAGATATTGAAGTAATAACTGATCCTTGTTAAAAGGGAAATAGGGACAAGAAAAGCATACCTCCAAAACAAATTACAAGGACATCCTACTTAGTTGTGACAGTGTTTAGGAAAAATTTGTTCTGAAAAAGTGACAATTAAACTTAGACTTCAAGGGTGAAGACAACCTGAATAATGCAGAGGCAGGAAAAAGTGCAAAGAGAGGGAGAGTGAAGAAAACAGCTTGTGCAAAAGTTCCTGTGCTAGACAGAACTTGGTAAGTTCACAGAATAAATTCATAGATCTGAAAGGCTCTTCATGTAAAGGCAATGTAATTACAGGGGGAACATAGGTGTAAAATATGAGAAAAGATAGACATGAACACACACTAAGGCTCTACTGAAGATTTCAGAACTTTGGCAAGATATAAAAACGGGAGTATACAAACAGATTTTCATTTTTAAAAGACTTTGGCTGCATAGTATGGAATAGATCTTGGAAAGAGAGTCCAGTTAAGTTGTTGCAATCTTGGTGATGGAATGGCAGATGGCATGAACAGGAGAGATAGAGACAAGTGGTTCAATTTGAGATGTAGGAAGAATTGAAAGGGCTTAGTAAAGAAAAGAAGGCAGGGAAGGTCAAAGAAAGAAAAATGACTGCTAGGTTTATTTCTCCCATCAGTAATTAGACTGACAGCAAGGAATATACATTTGTTTCACTGACACTGCCTTGTACACTGTGAACTCTCTTAACTCCTTTTTCTAGCTGACTACCTGGTATATAACTAAGCAGCACTACAGTGAAAGATAAAGAAGTTTTTTTTTTTTTTTTTAACACAATTGTTAAAAACCATAATTACCAGTAGGAATTGGAGGCATAAAGAAAATATAGGAAAACAAAACTCAAAGTATGAAACTATCAATAAAGAGTATCTAAAATATCAAAACGCTGAAAAGCAAAAAAAGGTCACTGAGTACGCTGGAGGACAGAGAGAGGGGCAGCTGAAAAGGCTGACATTAAAAAAAATATTTTTTAATGTTTATTTATTTTGGAGAGAGAGAAAGAGACAGAGCACAAGTGGGAGTGGGCAGAGAGAGGGAGACATAGAATCTGAAACAGGCTCCAGGCTCTGAGCGGTCAGCACAGAGCCTGAAGCAGGGCTCGAACTCATGGGCCATGAGATCACGACCTGAGCTGAAATCAAACACTTAACCAACTGAGCCACCCAGATATCTAGAAAAGGCTGACATTTTAAAGAAGGAATCTGGGAGAGAATGTTAAGAATCTAAAAATGAGAGCAGGGGACTGATACAAGACCATATACTAAATTAGGACCAGAATCGGTCAGGTTCCTTTCAGAGTGAGCCACATAGATAAAATATAAAGTCTACTTGCTTCTGAAGTATCATCAAAATGCTTTTATTTCATAATAAAAATAAAAATGTTCATAGCTGAGTTCTACAACCCTAACATCATTCAGATCCGTTAAAAGATTAAATTACTATTAGCTGACTCTAGTACTGATGGGAGAGGAGTAAAATGAGGAGAAATATACTAGACCTTGAAGGAGGGAAGTCAGATTCAAAAACTTTTGGCTCTCATGGGTGGATATAAATACAGGGAAACCCCACATTAACAGAGTTTCATATATTAATGCTATTTGGGTAGTTCAGTCTAGCCCGTTGGGCAAGCTAAAGTTTTATTTCTGGGAATGAATGTGAAGGAAGATGGGATTATAAAATGACAACATGTAAACTTGTCCAATTCAGTGTATGGTCAATTATTTATAGTGTGTCACTGTGTTTACCTTTGTGTCTCAATTATTATAGACAACATGGAAAATACAGTTTTCTGTTAACTTCGCAATAATTCAACTTCACATTTTATGTGACTGTCTTAGACTCTAATTATGGCATGACATATGGCAGGGATTTCCTGTAAGTTTAGAGTTCTAATGGACATAATAGTCCCTAGCTGCCACATTTAACAAATGGTGATCCAGTGCCAACCTGGGGCCTTTCTATCTTGAGATTTGTGGGCAAACTGTGTATAGAGGAGCAGCATTCTCAAAGTCACATAGCCTCTCTATGAATTTTTATTTTTAAAACAATCTGTCAGGGGCACCTGGGTGGCTCAGTCAGTTGAGCATCGGACTCTTGATTTTGGCTCGGGTCAAGATCTCACGGTTTGTGGGTTCGAACACCGCGTCAGGCTCTGCACTGACAGAGCTGCTTGAGATTCTCTCTCTCCCTCTCCCCTGTGTGTGCGTGCTCTCTCAATAAATAGACTTTATGAGGCGCCTGGGTGGCTCAGTCGGTTAAGTGTCCAACCCTAGATTTTGGCTCAGGTCACGATCTCAGGGATCAGGAGTTTGAGCCCCACATCGGGCTCTGTGTTGGCAGTGTGAAGCCTGCTTGGGATTCACTCTGTCTCCCTGTCTCTGCCACTCCCCAGCTCTCCCTCTCTTTCAAAGCAAATACATAAACTTTAAAATAAACTTTAAAGAAAAAAATGTCATTTCTTCACTTTTTCACATGCTTATACTCTCAATAATCATTTTACACACACTTCTCTCAGTAAAAATCTTGATGCAACCAATACAATCAGTTCTCATTTGTACGTCGGCAATTCCACCAGCAATAAAATGTGAGTTTTCCATTCAAATGGGATTCTATGGCCATATAAATAAGGACCTGAGCATAGCTAACATAAGAAAACTAACAGGAAGTGAGGCCTCTTACTCTCCATTCGGTTAGAAAACCCACTGGCTTCCAAGCAAAGATGTAAAACAAAACCAGCATTGCCCCACTTTTTGAAAGTTCGTCTCCACTTAGCTTTTACGAAAGATCTATATTAATAGCTATTTTTGCTAACCAAAAGAAATCCAAAGAGGGTTAAAAAAAAAAAGGCAGAAAGTGAAAATAGTGTTCAGTGCTTGTTGGCAGCAAGCCATTAGCATGTAACCCCAGCATTTTGAGCATCACTGCCAAGCTCCTTCCCCAGGAATTACACTCAGTATCTCACCATCAAGCTGCCAGAGCTTTGAACTATTACCGGGAGCACATGTGCTTTATCTCTATTTCTTTTGTATATCTGTTAACAAGATGTGTCTTAAGGTATCAGAAAAGTCCAAGAAAGATTATTTTCTGGATTTGAGAACACTCAAAAAATTTTCCATGTAAGTTAACACTAACTGCTTCTTCACTTTATACCATTTCAGCTTAGGAAAAGTTTCATGGGAACACTGCTTTCAGAAAGCTGGGGAAACCTGTAATGTTATACACATATCACTTCTTATGTATTTAAGTCCACTTAAAAAATAAAACTAATATGCTGTGGTACACTGAGAAAGAACGGGAAATAAGCTGAAAATGGTGTTAAGAACAAAATTCTACGTTTCGGAGAAACACCAAATAGATTCTTGGTAAGTAAAAACTTAGATGCAAAGATACTAATAATATAAGTAGTTCTTTAAAAAGGAAGCAGCGGGGCACCTGGGTGGCTCAGTCGGTTAAGCGTCCGACTTCGGCTCAGGTCATGATCTCATAGTTCATGAGTTCGAGCCCCGCGTCGGGCTCTGTGCTGACAGCTCAGAGACTGGAGCCTGCTTCACATTCTGTGTCTCCCTCTCTCTCTGCCCCTTCCCTGCTCATGCTGTGTCTCTCTCTGTCTCAAAAACAAATAAACATTAAAAAAATAAAAAATAAAAAGCAGCAACCTGTGCAGAAAAAGCAAGAAGCCTTATTAGAAGTCCCCATAAGAAGCAGCTGAATCACTAAGTGGGGCCCTACAGTAAAGCAGACAAGGAGATACAGCGGGAAGGCTGACACTACTTAGTGAGAACTGCACACCACACTTAGGGTTCAATAAAGATGGAGACTGATGTCAGTATCCACTGGAAAATGTCAAAAACGCAATGTTTTAACATCCATCAAACACACATAGGTGGATGCGAATAAAAAGGAGACAAAGGATTCTGCAAGTGGGATGTACACGTAACATAACATAAAAATAAAAGTAACTACTTTTTGATCAACTTTGATACGCCTTTACCTGGTTGTCTTAAATATTCACAATAACCTCAGGAGGAAGTGATCTCATTTTACACAGAATAAAGAAAGAAGCAGGCTCAATGATGTTTAAGTAGCTTGTCTAAACTCACCCCCAGGAGTACAAAGTGGCCGAGCCGGCAGAGAGTAGAGAGAACAGAAAGGGTAACTCCAAGACACGTCTAGCACGTGTGCGCAGGCTTTACGCCCGCTTGCTTGCGGGCGCGAAAACAGGTTAAATACACCTACAGTCTCAGACACGGGCGTCACTTGATCCAGGATGAACAGAGCAGTTATGAAGGGGTTGACCTAACAAGCGCCTACTGTACTGCTAAGAGACAAAGGACACAGAGGTGACCAAACACACAAGGCCACTGTCTGCAAGGGGCTTACAGACCTGCAGACTGTCCTCGCTCGGGACTATAAGGAAGGGGGACTCTGCACCAGGTCCGGCTCAGAAGTGGGTGCGTGGGGCGACAACGGCTCCCGAGGCCTGCAAGGGGGGAAAGGACAAGAGGACCCGACGCAGCGAAGGGGCGTGGCGCGCGGGGAGGGGGCGGCGCGCGGCTCCCGCGCGGTAAACACGGAGCGCGTGCCGGGCTGACGTGGGGGCCCGAACGTCGTGCGCGCGACAAACTACGCAAGAACGAAGAGACAACTCCCAGAGGATGGGGCCATCAGCCCTACGGCCCTGGCGGGTCCCTTGGGAGAACCCTCAAAGATGCTGTTTGGGGCAGGAAGTGGACCTAAAGTCCTTCTGGACTCATCGCCGCCTGGGAGGCCTGGCTGCGGGAAACGGAGACAAGGTAAAGGGGGACTAACGGGCACTCACCATCCATGGTCTCCCTCACCGCGTTCAGATTCGCCGCCGCCGCCGCCCCGGCACCGCTGCTACTCGCCATGGTGGAGGCCGAGGGAGGCGGGAAAAGGGCCTGACCCGGAACTGGAGCGCCTTCCTTTCTCCTGGGCAATCACACCGCGCGTCCCCAGCTCACGCCGGGCAGGCTCCGCCCCTCGCGCTCGTAGCCAGCGTGAGGCTGCGTTGATTTAAATTTGGAGCCTCGTTACTCAGCGCGGAATGTGAAGCGAGGAGTTGCCATTCGAATTTACTACGCGGCCTCGATGCGATTGGTTGGTTCGCGGACAGCGGTACGTCGCGATTGGCTAGCTCCCCACAAGGCCCGTGCCCTGGTTGGCCTAAGAGCGCGGAAGCGGGGAGTTAAAGAGTCTGTGCTTGTCGTGGGAGCTGGCCTGGCCCCTCGGGAGCGCCCTGGAGTCGCCTATTGGGGGGCTTCCTTTTTACACACACCACTAGGTATGTTCTTTGTAGTCCCTGGCCTTTCCTCTTGTCTGGAATTGGAGAGATCACTTTTCCTTTCTCGGAACCCACCTGCCCACTGTCCCCGGGGTGAATGGGAGCAGCGAGGGAATAGGTGAGGAAGAGTTGGGGGTGGGGGGGACGCCAAAGTATGATCGTGTAGTGTTGGGAGTGACACTGGCTTGAGTGTCCACCCTGCTCCTCACCCAACGAAACCAGCTGCTTCAGCCTTCCAAGAAGTGGATTCTTTATCCACGGTCGTATCCCCCGATGACTGGAAAGCAATGCAGTCTCGCCTTCTACCCTGGAAGTCAGCGAAAGGAGGATGTTTGAGGAGAGGCAACCAAAGGCGGTTAATTTCTTAGCCCTCATCAGTCATACTTATTTGATTGGTGCTAATGTGGAGGAAAGGCACCCGTGCACAGGCTTCCTCGTCTCGTATTTGCTTGTTGTAAATAACTGTTGTTTAGTAACTGCAGTTTAATAGGCAATTGCTGGGATATCCGAAGGTTGTTCAAAATACTTCGAGATGTGAAATAAAGAAACCATAGGTGTAAGTCCTTTAGTTGAAAAGAGTTTTGTGTCTGTTGTTAACATTTAGTTGCCTCAGATCCATCCTGAACACATTCATATTTGGCTGACTGCTATTTATATGCCACTTAACTTCTCTGAGCTTAATTCTTCTGCAAAATGGCATCACTACTACCATACCTCTCTAGCCTTCAAGGTTATTTTAAGGATCGCTTTAGAAACTATATGTGATGCCTCTTTGTAAACTATATATTTTTAAAAAACCCAAAAGCGTTAGATTTTGAGGTTTTTTTTTTTTTTTTTTTTTTTTTTTTTTTTTTTTTTTTTTTTTTTTTTTTTTTTTTTTTTTTTTGCGAAATATGCTTATTGAATACATTTTAGTTGTCCCAGCGAATGTGGAACTTTATAGTTTTATTGTCCATACTTATTTCTTTTTAGTTTTCTCTCTGGGCTATGGGAGATGTCAAAGAATCAAAAATGCAAATAACACCGGAAACTCCAGGAAGGATCCCAGTTTTGAATCCTTTCGAAAGTCCTGGTGATTATTCTAATCTCCATGAACAAACGCTCTCCAGTCCTTCTGTTTTTAAATCAACGAAATTACCAGTAAGTTATTCTTGACTAGTATTTATAAGTTAGTGTTTACAAACTATTTAAGAAATTTTTTTTTTTCAACATTTATTTATTTTTGGGACAGAGAGAGACAGAGCATGAACGGGGGAGGGGCAGAGAGAGAGGGAGACGCAGAATCGGAAACAGGCTCCAGGCTCTGAGCCATCAGCCCAGAGCCCGACGCGGGGCTCGAACTCCCGGACCGCGAGATCATGACCTGGCAGAAGTCGGACGCTTAACCGACTGCGCCACCCGGGCGCCCCTAAACTATTTTAAATGTAAACATCTTTCTTAGCAAGTTAAGGGAGAAATTTATCATGGAGCACATATATCTGGAATGTGCTTTTTTAGTTGTAATGTTCACTATAGTGTAGTGGTTGGGCTAAAAATAAGTTAGCTAGGTGGATTTTTTTTGTTTTTGTTTGTTTTATTTTTTTGTTGTTGTTGTTAGCATTTCTCCTTTTTTTTATTCAGTAGATAATATGTTGGCTTCCTGTAACTAGATGTAGCTAGATAGTATGATTGTTGATATATTAACTAATACCATATTCCAGGAGAAGCTATGTTCTCTAATTATCTATTCTCATTTATTCAGGAAACCTATTTGAATGCTGCTTTGTATTCGATAAAGTGCTAGACGTAGAGAACAAGTCAGGGTCATCAGACACAAACTCTCAAGAAGCTTGTATTCTAATACAGAGATCACCAAACTATTTCTGTCAAGGGCCAGACAGTAAATATTTTAGGCTTTGCCGGTCATCTTGTTGCTGTTACAACTAGTCACTATGCCTTGTATCACAAAAGCAACCATAGGCAATATGTAAACAATGAGACCTTGCTGTGTTTCAATAAAGCTTTCTTTATGGATATTTAAATTTCATATAATTTTCACATGTCATGAAATGATAATATCCTTTTAGTTTTTCCAACCATTTTTAGCTTGCAGATTGTAGAAGCCAACCTCTACTCTAAAGGAATAGACATAACTAATCTAGGGACTTCAAAACAATATATGTGCCACGATTAGTGGTTAAACACAAGGGTGATATGGAAGGGAAAATGCTCTCTTGGAGATTAGGGAAGACTTCATCCCTCTAGGTTATGTTTGCTGTTATTTGCCACCTAACAAGAGCAAGAACACTGGAGTTCTTTTGAAGTATAATCTCTTAACCTAGTAAATTACCTAGAAAAACTGCCAAGTGTGTGGCTGTTTATATACTACACTTTCATACCAGCTTAAACAAAGACCAAGTGGAGGAAAGTTTTACAGTTATGTAGTTTATATTGAGTCATGAATCTGACCTCGTGATTTTTTATTGAACCTTATTAAATGTTAGCTATATGTTAATATAGAATAGATAATGGATTGGCTGCAATTTAATCCTCAAAGCCACAATGTGTGGCATGTTGACCTTTTAAGCCTGATTTTTGTCAAAAATGCATTCTGAATTACAGATTAGGTTTTGGATAAGTTTTTGGTTCAGTTGGATAGTTGACTACAGAAAAGCAGCAGTGATTACCATTCATAATTATTTTAAGAATCAACTATTTTATGAACCTTTCTAGGCACTTCTGTAGTTAGTACTTCGTTTAGTTTCACTTCATTCGTAAGTAAAAGTAAAGACCTATGATAACTCTTAAAAAAGATTTTTACTTGGGCATGGTGCATCACTGATGAGTATTAATTGTGAAATTTCTATACTTCATTATTCTACTGTGACTTTTTTCCATTATTATGTAATTTCAAAAATCACCCAAATGGAAGATTTGGGTATTTTAAAATAGATATGGTCCAGTCAGTTGGTTTTATGATTTGATTATCATTTGCCATTTAATTTACTGGTAAAGCCAAATTTTAAAATATGAGCTTTAAAATACTTTTGTATTATAACCATTCACATTATTTTTGAAGCTGACAGTTGTTAGCATTGTGATGAACTATTTTAGTTTGCTTTTACTTATAGGTTCACTTTCTTTTGTTAAGACTCCAGGGAAATTTAGATGGTCTATTGATCAACTAGCTGTAATAAATCCGGTAGAAATAGACCCAGAAGACATTCATCGTCAAGCTTTATACTTAAGTCATTCTCGGTAAGTTTTCTTTTCTTGTGTCTAAGTGTAATAATATACTTTCAAAGGGACATCAGAAATTCCAGTGATTGAATATATTTATATGTAAAGATATCAGGGAAGAAAATTTTTGATAGACATTTATTGTATCTAAATGAAGAGTAAATTCAAAGAACTATATCCAGAAAGATTCTCTTGCTAACAGTTCTAAACCTGAGTAGGAACCTTTTTTTTTTTTTAAGAGATAATCTTCCTCTGCTACTTACGGGACAACTGTGCTTTCCAGCACTTGGTAGAAGGAAGAACATTTTGAAATTTGTATCATTCTACATGGTTGTGGCTTCTCCCATTAATTTTTGTATTGTTTATTTTTTTGGTGGTAGGGTAAAGCAAAATATTCTTTCATTGCCATCTGTGTTTGGGGAAGCTTAAAATCCCTTTACCAAGTTAAGACACATTGAATGAAAGGGTATCCATTAGCAACAGAGAGCTTTTCTAGACATTATCCAGCTTTGATATAGAACCCTTAGGGATCTGAATTACATCGTGTTGAAGTCAACCTAGTAATCAGAGCAGCCTTAACTTGTTTCTAAGCATAGTGTGCCCCAGACTTGTGATTTGTGCTGCGTGATGATGTCCAGTGTAGTGAGAACGTGCACTTCTTTAGTGCAACAGACCTAGCTTTTTGATTGTGATTTACTGTAAACTCTGATTATAAATAATAGCCTTTGTCAGTAGTTTTGGGGGATTCTTGTTAATGTCAGTTTTATAATTTTTTTTTTTTTTTTTTTTTTTTAATTTTTGAAACAATTGAGTACTGGTAAGACCAGCTTTTATTTTTCAGTCCCAAGGTACATGTGTTGTCAGTCCACAATAATGGACAATTGTTTACCTCTTAACTTCAGAATTCAGTCACACAAAAATGCACACCTGATAAGATGTTTTTGCAAATACTCGTCTGGATGTTTCTGCCCCTTCCTCTCTTGGCTCAGTAACTTGATGACCATTCACTCATAATTCATGTCCATCCAAAGTGTAGTAGAAAGGGAAAAGAATGGGGACAGCATTAAAGAATTTTTAATTAAATGTAAATAACAGTTTTGAAGAGAAGGTGAAAAAAAAGAATATCTAAAAGCAAATGAGTTACAAATTAGGCTGATTTTTTTTGTTTGACGCAAAATATATGCTTTATTATTTGCCTCTTGGTATACTTAACCATGGATAGCTATTAATCTATCAGTTATGAAGTCTTTATTTAGCACGTTGAGCAATACTGAAGTAGGATAGGCTATTACTCCCATCTAGAGAGTCAACAATACAATTAACCAAAGGTGTGACAGAACATTTCTATATTTATTAATAAATGATGTATTGTTTAGGT